AATAAAAAATTTAATAAAAGAGGGAAAGTGGGGAGGAGGAGGAAGGAGGGGTCATAATAAGCTCAGGGTAAGTGGAAAAATTTCCAGAAAATTATTAAATAACAACTTCTGTGCATAAGGCACATAAGAGTTCAACCTTTTTTTTCCATTGATTTTTCATAATTCCTGTTTTATATGTAACAAATTTAAGTAAATTTGACCGTGTTTTTTTTCCATTTTAAGAAAAGACCACTTTCCAATTCTTTGTAAAAACTCTAACTAAACTATTCAGGATGACATCTAAAAATAAAGAAAAAAAAAAAAAATCGAGCTACATCGGCATTTTTGTAATTAAACTCGCCCCAGTAAAATTGCGATAAAGGTCAATATTACAGGTGTTCTGTTTATTTTTAAAAATTTTAAGTTGTTTTATTGGACTCCTTGCCTCAAAATATGTTAGCATACATATTTTCAGCTTTCCATTGTATACAGAACAGAAACAAAGACCAAAACCATTTTTTAAAATGGCGGATTTTTGTTGGTTCAAGGCAAAGTTTGAATAGTCATATCTTTGGAACCGTTTGGAATTAGATAATAAAATTTCGGGAATGTTCATAACTTATTAAAATTTTTGAGTGGTGTAAAAATCAGCAAAATCTGAGACTTAGGGTTGCATGCCCTGGATGTTTTCACATGGAATCTCCCATATAAAACATTAAATGATAACAAACCTACTAATTTTTTATGTTGTTGTGTTAAGTTGTATTTTAAATTTGACAATTCCATTTCCACGGATCGCATATCTAAAGGGCGAGTTTGCTTTTCTTTTAATATTCATTTTGTCACGTTTCAGTTAAATCAGGCGAAATAAAAACCTCCTTGTAATCTTGCTTTTCTCTTAATAATTTAGATTTTGCTAAAATTGGATTTCTCTCAGAATCTTCATTTAAAATCACTAATACTGGTCCCGGTTTTCCAGTTTGTTTCGTATTTAGCCTTTTTTGGAATGTTGGGACAATTTCTACATTTATTTCATGAAATAGTTTACTAATTTGTTCTTTATCCTCCTCATGTTGTTCTTGCAATGTAGCTTTTTTAGATGCAGGGAGGCCATAGACAATAATATTTTTTCTTCTTTTTTCTCTATTTTTTTGCTCATTAATAGCTGCGTTTACAACAATTAATTGTTCAACTGGGGATTTTGTTTTAGAAGAAGAGGTAGAAATTTTTCGAAATTTTACCACACCAATCATGTAAGACTTTAGAGCCCGTATGATTTCCTGGTCCTAAATTTGGCCAATTTTCCTGCTTTAAAAAATCCATTTCCATGTTAGTTTTTCTTTGTATTTATATCTCTAATAATGATGAGTTGGTCTTTGATAGGAGGGCTACCACCCTAAATACCAGTGGATTACCTCCTGATCTCTGAACTTTTTGAACTTTTAACACCGTGTAAACACAGTGACGAGCAAAAAGATTTTGTGTTTTTTTTTGTTGCAAAAAACCGGCGAGATTTTTTAGTCGTTTTGAGAACATTTCAAAAACAAACAAAAAAACGCAATAAGATTTTCTGGACTGATGAGAGACAGTTAAAAAAAGAAAAATAGCTTTTAACGCAAAAAAACTTTATTAGAGAAAATAAATTTATTACAGCAATTATTTTTGAAACGCTCTTTTATAAATTTTTTTATAAAATTAAGCGACATTTTTTATATAAAGTTACAACTATAAAGAAACAAATGTTCTTCGATTTATGAAAGAGTATATATAATTTTTATTTACATACTCATGTCTTATTTCCAGTGCTGGACTGAGGAGGTGGGTGGGGGTAGTAGGGCTATAGCCCCGAGACTCACAATGTTAGGGGAAATAGTCAAGAAGACCATTCTGTATTATTTTTTAGTCATTTTTACCTGTGGCACATAAAAAAGGCTGCCAAAATAATGCCGCCCCCGGCCCTGAAAAGTCCAACAAGATTCAACCAATAAAACTAACGCTAGATGATTTATTTACAAATAAAAAAGTTTTTTTAATAACTGTTTTACGTTTCGCGTAGTTTAAAAAGTTTAACAAATTTGAAACAATTCTTCTAAGTAAGATGAACAAATGAAATAATTAAATCATTGAGTTACTGTAGAAATTCAATTAATTAGATAGAAATTGACTAAAAATGTTTAAAATTAAATTAAAATTATTTGTATTAACTTTGACAATTATTAATAATTTCATTGAAAACGCAGTTATTATTGAAGGTATTTTTATTTACAAAATTATTCGCACAAATTGCTTTTAAAGATTACATTTGAATAAAATGCACATACATAAAACTACATAGATAAAAATACATTACATACATAAAAATACATTACATACATAAAAAATACATCCCTTATATATAAAAAATAAGAATATACTAATAAAATCTATAATATATTTACAAAACGTTGACAAGTTAAAGAATATAAGTTTAAAACATTCATTATTGTAAACAAATAATATTAGTTTAAAACATTTATAGCTTTGTAGATGTGGCTTTAAGAATTAAAATAATACTTTGTTTGATAGTATATTCTTAAAATAATTTATGCTAGAAATCTCAACGAAAATGTAACAAAATTCAAATAATACAATTTTAAAAATATTTCAACAGAATACTCAAGATATTTGGTTAGCATTTTTTGAATACTCTAGAAATTTCGGTTAGTATTCTTTGAACCAATAGAATTAGTTGTTCGTAGATTTGGCAAGTTTTTTGTGTTTGTGAATATTCTTTTTTTTATTTTTCCATACTAAGATGCTTGAGAACATTCAAGTTTATGTATGTTTCCATGTAAAACAAAATATTTTAAAATTTACGATAAAATGAACTTTTTATTTTGCGGACAAACAAGGAAACATAGATAAACTTAAATGTTCTCAAAACGACTAAAAAATCTGGCTGGTTTTTTGCAACTAATTATTATTTCTGTGGTCAGTTATCGAGTGCGATCGCACCCGCTTCCCAACCAAGCCTGTGTTTAAAATTGAGGAAAAGCTATAATTGCTATTTCCACATAAACTCTTTCAAAAAACATTTCTTTTTTTCTATAAATCAACCTTAAAGTTTTTAAATGCTGAGAACTAAAAATATATGTATAAATGTTAAAGATTCCACATTCCATTAGATTCCTTTTCCCTTTTTTAATATATATGGAGATAAATACTTACTTTCAAACGCTTTGTTTGAAGGTAAGAATTTTTTGAAAAAAATGTTCTCACTGCAAGATTTTTGGTCAATAGTGGTCTCAAGACATGAGTAGTAGTATATAATGAAAACCATATAAAACTTACTACATTTTATATATGGTTGTAAAGAGGTTGAGTCAAATTAATTGATGTCAAAAATCTCAAGATTCCAATTATAAAAAAGGAATAAGAGAGTAAAGTTTATAAAAACTACGTGTTTTTTGTCAAACATCAAATTTTTTTTGTTGCGCTCTGGAATCGCTATATTTAGATATTGAGCATTGTGTTCTAATAATAGTTTAAGAACTTCGGAAAAAATATAAAAATAAAATTGAAAAGATAAAAAGCCCTTTATAATATAAAAACTGAGCAAGATTTCTGGGTTTATGTATACCCTAATCTTCTATTGTAAAGCTGTGTTACTTAGATATCTCCCCTTATTTATATAACTGACAAAAAGCAAGTAATTTAGGCTAGAAAAGATTTCTTAAAAATTTAAAGAAAACGAGGGATATTTTCAGTCAACTATATTTTTACAGCTCCAACTAAAACCCATAGTTATTGTATCTACAATTAACAATTTAATTGCTTTATTAAATATTTTATTAAAAAGATGGCTCAATACCAACAAAAAAATTATGGTAAATTTTTGTAATTTATATTTTTTCATTTTCTACGGGAAATTAGAGCATTTTCTGTTGATCTTTAGGTCTTTGTTTTTACTTAATTTCAAACCAGTATATAGACTTTTTAATCATCAAAAGACATAAAAAGATCTAAATTAACTTTGTATATAAAGGTATTTTTAATAAAACTAATTTAAATTAGTAGAAATTGTTAGAAGTTGCTAACGTTAAGATTAAGAACTTTTAAATATTATCAAAATGTCATTTTCATAAACTTTACTCTCTTATATCTTTTTTTATAATAAAGCTAGAACCGTGAGGTTTTTTGCATCAATTAGTTTGACTCATCTTCTTTCCAACCATATATAGAAAGTACAATGTTTAATATGGCTTCTTTTACATTTTATTCATGTCTTAAGACCACTCTTGATTAAAAACTTGCCGTAGGACACTTTTTAACGAAAGTAGTTTTTGAAGGTAAGATTTCTTAAGTACCAAAACATATCAAACTTGCTTGAAAATTTACATGTAGATTAAAAAAAGGATAAGACATCTAATGGAATGAGGAACTTTTTTAACATTTATACATAATTTCTAAGTTCTTAGCGTTTCAAAACTTTAAAGTGGGTTCATTAAAAAAAAAAAAACTTTTTATAAAAAGATAAAAAAAACAATTTATAGCTTTTCTTTTATTCAAATCAAGTATTTATTTTTGTTTTCTTGAAGAAATGGTACTTAGAAATTTCGCTTAGAAATAATGCATATAATAATTTATTCCTGTTTGTTTTGATTTTGGCGCTTGATTTTTGATGTTTTGATGATATTTTAGTGCCATTTCACGCCGAATTTTCCAAACAAAGCGTTTTGTCAAAAAATTATCAGTTTTTCCATGACATAAAATGCAATAACTTTGGATCGAATTAAATTCTAAAGGTGAAAGACCCCTCGTTTTTTAAGTATTTTTATACTCTATATAACTATGTTAATTATATATATATATATATATATATATATATATATATATATATATATATATATATATATATATATATATATATATATATATATATATATATATATATATTGACAAAAAAATCCTCTGGAATGGCTACCTATTGTCAATAGGTGGAAATAATTAATAAAAAAAGTAAACAATGACAACGAAAGTACCTGCAGCACATAAGAAAATGGTTTTCTTTTTTTTACCCGCTCCTGCTTTTGCAACATTTACTACAGAATACAATGCTTCATCACTTGGTCTAAATAAATCTTGTTGAAGATTGTGCTTTATTGCAGCCATTTGTTTTGATTTTGCTTTGGTTTATTTTGGTTCGGCAAATTATTTGCATTATATTTTTTTATCACTTGGAAAAATCTTAAAAGCGGCAACTGCGCGTAATTTATTTCTACGAAATGATGGAATTTAAATCCTAAAAGTTTTGATACTAAAAAATAAACCATGTGTGCAGATTTTTGAGTGTATTTTTTAGATTAAAGTGTGTTAAAATCAATCAATTATTTTACTTTTAAATTTTTAGGCCAAGCTAGAAGGAGTTACAAACAGTTAAAAACTGACAAGAACGTGACGACCTACCATATATTATTTTTGTGTGCGTTTTGAGTGAGTTTAAACTCTATAAGTTTAACTCAAAATATTATATTTAAACTAATTATAGCAACAACAGCAATTCTAATATAAATATTAAAAATGGTTTATAACTATTAGAAATAATAACAAGAAACATTACCAATAAATATAATTTTAAAAATAATTATAAGTCAGTGTTGAAAACAAATTAGGAGGGATTAGAAGAAAAGCTAGACGATCAAGTTGATAAATGCATAGTTGCCTTAACCTAAAGAGAAAAGCAACAACGAAACAAAAACTATATATAATTTATAAGACTTATAAATTATATAATTTTTGTATTGTTGCATTTTGAAAAAGCAACAATAATCAAAAAGAGATTGAGGAGCAAGATGGTAAATGCATATTTGCCTCAGCCTCAAAGAAAAACTTTTTCTCTTTAGGCTGACGCAAATATGCATTTACTGTCTTGCTCCTCTAGCTCTTCTTGATTATTGTTGCTTTTTCAAAATGCAACAGTACAAAAATTATATAATTTATAAGTCTAGCTCTTCCTCTAGCTTCTCTAGCTTTTCTTCTTATCCCTCCTAATTTGCTCTTGTAACTTGTTTCATATGCTCTAATAATAAGAGCATATGAAATGGTAATAATTCTCAATATAAGTTAATGGTACCAGTAATTGACCATGTTCCAATAATTGACCATTTAGAAAAAAATTGTTAAAATAAGTCCTAATATGGAAGAACTATGGAAAAAAACAGCAGAAAAATACTCTCCTACCATTCAGTTGTACATACTTAAACACGGCAAACATTTGACAGCTTTGAACAAAGATGCCTTACAGTCAATGTTAATGTGCTATTCTCTTGTCTATTCTGTTTTTTTTTTTTGTTTTTTTGAGCTTTCTTCCGCAATTTGCTAAGGAGAAGCTTCCAAAAAAGTTAATTTTAAAAGGTAAGTGCCATTTATTTTCAGATTACATGATTTTATTTTGAAATAGGTATGTTTGATACTAATTAAATAATTATTATCTGTTTACTGCCATCTGTAGTCAGTTATGGGGCTGGTCAGTTTAGAAGGCAAGTCACCTATTGAAAGAAAAAATGGAACCTGAAACCGTCCAAAGCTGTAAAAAGGAAAAAAGTAAAAGCTGTAAAAAGTTATTGCTAACTGGGTCATAAAAATGGCTGAAGCAGGATTCCCTTTAACTGTTAAACAACTTCAAGATAGTGTACAACAGTTGGTGAATGACCCCTGGTGTATGACCCACGTGCTCCTAACCTGGGTCATACCTTGTACCAGAAAATGTACTTTGTAAAAGATTACTTAACAGTAATTAGAACTATTAAAACTATATAATTGGCAAACAATCTTAAAGATACGGCATACAAACAATCTTAAACATACAGAATTTTTTCTCAAACTGTCAATTACTGGTATCGTTACCTTATATTAAGTATTTTGAAAAATACATAAAAAGTTTAAGAAAACATAAAAAAATTTTATAACAGTATGAGCAGAGGATAGGATTTTTTTCAAATTCAGTATTACTTATAGTATAATTATATTATATATACTATTAAATAAATAAAAGATCAATATTAAACAATTACTAAATTATTAAATTGATACTCATAATAAAGTGTCCAAGTGTCTTTTTTATTTTTTAATCACTAAATTAATACTCGTAATAAAGTTTTCAATGTATCCTTTTTATTTTGGAGAATGCTATTTTCTAAAAGACTGAGTCTTTTGCAAAACATCTTCTTTTTTTATTATTCACTACTGATCTCTTGTGGAAACCATATATAGAATCAAAGTTAGCATATGCTCAAGTGGTCTCTATTTATCAAGCTAATCATTTTCTTATTCCTGATTGCAATTTCTACTACTATAAATCTCTTACTTTTTACTTAATGGAATTTTGTCATATTTAGATTAGTTCTTCTAATAATGCCCTTCTATTTTTCTTCTAGACAAGGTCAAATGTATTGTAACGTTTATACTTTTTAAATTTTATGCTTTTTCATATGCTTTTATACTGTGTATTCCTGTGCAAAGAAGAGGAAATTGGTTACTTTACTTATGATATATCAATATATATGAAATAAAAAAACATAAAGTATTGATATATGTGATAAAGAGTCAATCAAATAAACAAACAAAGGCGTTTGGTGATTCTCGATTAACAAAAAAACAAACAATAATAAAGTATCTGAAATGCTGCTTTTGTTACTAAACTATGTAATTACATATATATATATATATATATATATATATATATATATATATATATATATATATATATATATATATATATATATATATATATATATATATATATATATATATTATTTGCTACTTCTGAAATTTATTTAATTTAGTGACAATGATTAATTGATCAATTATAGTCCCAACAATAGCAATGACAGGAAATTTAGCAGCTGATAAATTTAGGTGATTTTTATTTTACTAGTTAGTGTATTTGTGTGAATGTCTATTTTTATATTCTAGTTTTTTCTATGATAATATTAGTAATAATAATAATACTAATAGATAACACTGTGAGGTGATTGTGCTACAGCTGCTGTTATAATTCATAAGTAAATTATAATTTTGTTATTGATCCAAATAAGTTTTGTTGAGATTTTTACTAATAACAGTATAGAATATGTATGTAAGGAATATATAAAAACATAATGGAGATAATTAATAAATACACAAAATATTACAAGGTTCAGTTAAGAAAGAGTAATATAAAATGTTGTTTGTATCTAATTGTATCTATTAGATAATATAGTATTCTAAATTGAATATAGTTTTGAACTGACAATGAAAATTGAAATAGTCAAGAAGTTAAATCAGCTGGTTGATATTGCTAGGCTGATCAAAATTGACTTAAATTTAACAAAATAAATTACAAATAATGGTTAGAGGCAAAGTTGCCTCTTGCATCTGACCATTATTTATTCATTAAGGTTAGGGTTCAGTGACATATGTAAAAATTTGTGTACCAAATGTTTTGCCACACCATTTTTCCATAATTAGAAACAGTCACATGCAGACATTGCATATTTCATAATGTATACCAAGAACTGTTAAAAATAAGTATTCATATTTTTTAAATTTTATTTTAGTGCAGGCAATGAAGCATTTGCAGATGAAGATTATGACTTAGCTATACAAGTAAGTTATTTTAATGTCTATTTATTTTGAATAAATAAGTGTAAATAAAAAATAAACAAGTTTGCAAATATTGTTACTACTTTAGTTAATTTTTAATAAAGATGCTAAATATATAAACATATGTGTTAGTTTTAAATATTAAATTAGTTCAAGGTAGTTTTTTAAGCATAATTGCAATAATCCCTAAATAATAAAAGAAAGTATTTATATGGTATCAAGTTTATAAGTATGTTAGAAGATATATTTTTACATTTAAAGATGATCGCTTGGTACTGTTTCTTCTTTAGACTGCTAGGAAAAATGTCTTGTGAACTCAAAAAAATTATAGTTTCGTATAAGACTTGACCATCAAAGTTGTTTCCAATATTTATTTCAAATTAAAAAGAAATTTTTTTCTTGTTAGTGATTTTTGCTATTTTATAATTTTTTAAAATTTTAGTCATGCTGCTTGAGAGCATATCTTTAAAAATTCAAAACTTTAGAAAGCTTAGATCATTAGGACTCCAAATATGCTCCAAAGATTGACTTAAACTTGACACTACTGAAGATCTGTCTTCCTAAAAGAGGATGCTAAAACTTAACTATAATTCTTTGTTGCTCCATTATAATTGCACTATATAATATATCTTGTTTCATAACTTTAAACTTTTTTATTAAATATATATAGCCTTATTCAAATAAGTGGTTGAAATCAATATTATTTAGAAAAGTTCAAAAGATCTGGGTTGGAATGACATCAACTTAATTACTATTTTGAAAAATCTGTATAAATTAGAGCTTGTCATTAAAAATACTTTTTACTATTTCGCTCCTATTATGTAGTGTCTTAAAAGCCACAGATCTGGCTTTGGTAACACTTTAGAAACTGAATTTGAAAAGTTTATTTCCAAGATAAAGAATTGATTATATTATAAAAATAATATAAGCTCTGACAATTGATGAAAAATCTTTTTTAATAAATTTTATTTTGTATTTAGTTTTATGCAATAAATATTTTTTTCAATAATCTGATTTATCAAGTTTATTTTTAAATTAATCAATTGTTATTCATTCATAAATAAATGGTTATAAACTATTCCAACCTTCCACAATACTACTTAAGAAAAAATTATACTTTATAATTATAGCATTATTCTTACAGTATGTCTTTATTAACATTTGCTATGAATACAAAACTTGTAATGTACTTTTATACTCTTAGCAGCTTTAATTTTTAGTACAATGTTACGTTAGATTTGGAAAATTCATTTAATTTTATAAAATATTTTATGTTTCAGTCATTTAATCACTGCTTTTGCACGAAAACCTTTTCACACTTTCCTACATGCCCAGAAAAACTTTAACAATTGCATAAAAAAGTATTTTAAAAATAAAAGCTTTTTTTGCAACAAATCTGTTTTATTTGAACTTTTGTAAAAAGTTGAAAAGACATTTTTATATATGAATTATTTTGTTTAGATTTTAAATAAAATGTTTGTTTTGCTGTTTTTATTTTAGTTATCTTATTTACTATTTTTAAAAAAATGTTCATTTTACTGTTTTTTATGTAGAGTAATTCCATGTCAATTCATCCAGAAAATTTCAAAAAATGTCACCATATGTTTCAGATGTTTTTTATATTTTTATACAGTAGTGAGTAATAAGCAAAGTAAGAACTCATTGAAAATTTTAGCTTCTGGTTCCAAGAAGATCCTGAAATCATTTTACTTTTTGAGATCATTTCACTATTAACAGATCTATGCCAGGCCTCTCTTGTCCCCTCAGAATTGTGACCTTTGTGTAAAGGTTCCAAGTCACATAGTTTTAAAAATATTTGATCTTTTCACTTAAAATTTTGTACCTGGCTATTTTCAGGGGTGAAGAATCTAATAAAATAATCAGAAATGTAAAAAATTATTAATAAGTACCTGTAATTATCAATTTACATAAATTTAGGCAATTTTTTATATAGCTGATTTTGATGCTCAGGAAACCCATGTGGCCTTGATGATATCAAAAAAAATAGTTTACACATCATTCTATATTCAATAATCTTTCAGAAAACATAAGGAAATTGATCTGCAAGTATGTGGATTTCCATATATGAGTAACAGGGCACGGGCCCCACTTTTTTGTAGCATAATCTTGTAACACATTTTTCGCTAACTTTCAGACTAGCTAGAGCTCTGAAACTAGCGGCATTTTTGTAGTGCCAATAAACATGCATTTTAAAATTGTTCAAGACACTAGGGGACTGGGAGGGGCATGTGCCCTACTTTTTTGAGCAGAATCTTGAGATGGATTTTTCACTACCTTCCAGACAAGCTAGAGCTAAAACTTTCAGCATTTTTGTAGTCCTAATGAATGTGTGTCAAAATTGTTTCCAGGGCAGACAACCAGAGGGCCATGGGGCTGGGGCACTGACACCATGCCCCACTTGTTTTCTTAACAAACAAAAAATTTTAAACAAGGTTAAGTTAACTTTAAAGACTTTTCCAAAGTTGCACTTGAAAGATTGCTCAAATTCACAAATATCTTGTTCATTAATGCATAACAAACCAACTTATTTTCAAACTTTTATAAACTAGTAGATTTTAATTTTATTATTCAAAACACATTTTACAATGATTCTTTATCAACAGTTATTTACCTTTGATTGCTTTTCTTTTCGATTTATGCTTGTCCTATAAATTACAACATTTTGTGTGCTTCTTTTCAAAGAATGCAGATTGTTACAATTTTTTCATCTGTTATCCCCAAATTAATTCTTCTCTGGCATCTGCTCTATAAAAAATCTCTTTAAACCAGTCTTTCTACAATAAATCAGTTTATGACAGATATCATTTAACAGTTTTCCAAAATCACATAATTCCATTTTTATTTTAAAACTAACCTTGATAAAAGTAACAAAAAAACATTAAACATTTTAGAATGAGCAAATATCAATTAAAATAATAATTTTAAAAAGTGATATATATTTTTTTTATTAATGTAATGTTTTGACAGGATGTTTTTTTTACTACTGGATTTTATTTAATTAAACAACTTGCAGTTAACATTTTAGTATTGAAGTATATAATTTTTTTCAATTTAAAAAGTTTTAAATTATACAATGTAAAATCCTGTTAAAATCATTATTTTAGATTGATGATTGTTTTTAATCCATATATTTACCGAAATTCTGAAAAATATGAACTTTCTTCAGATATTATAAGAAAGATCATTGAATATAGAATGATCAAAAACTGAATGGAACAAGTATAAATCAAAGAAAAATTAGAAGACATTTTTTTTAAAAGTTATCTTAACTATTACTTGCAGATCAATTTCCTTATGTTTTCTGAAAGTTTATTTAATATAGAATGTGTAATTTTTTTTTTTATATATCATCAAGGCCACATGGGTTTCTTGAGCATCAAAATCAGCTGTATAAAAAATTGCCTAAATTTATTTAAATTAATTATTACAGGTACTTATTAATAATTTTTTACATTTCTGATTATTTTATCAGATTCTTCACCTTTGAAAATAGCCAGGTACAAATCTTAAGTAAAAAGATCAAATACTTATAAAACTATGTGACTTGGAACCTTTACAAAGGTAAGAATTCTGAGGGGACAAGAGGAGTCTAGCCAAGATCTGTTAAAAATAAAATGATCATATTTCAGGATCTCTGTAGAACCAGAAGCTAAAATTTTTAAGGAATTCTTATTTTACTAAGTACTCTCAACTGTATAAAAATCAGTAAAATCTGAGACATGGTGACATGGCATGGATGAATTGACATGAAATTACTCAGTAATCATTTTATTTAGAATTTAAATAAATTGTTTTTTTGTTTGTTTTTGTTATCGTTTTTTTGTTGTTGTTGTTGTTTGTTTGTTTTTTTAATGCTATTTTTGTATAATTATTTTAATTTAGACTAAAATGTTTGTCATGATGTTTTTATTATTTATCTATTTTTAATTTATTTTTTTTTAATGCAAATAGAACATTTTTCTATCTGTTTTTATTTTAATTATTTTGTTTAATATTTACATAAAATGTTTTTTTTGTTTGTTTGGTTGTTTTTTTGTTGTTTTTTTCTTTTGTCATTTTTATTTTATCTAGAATTTTAATAAAGCTTTTGCTTTAGTGTAGTTTTTTAAAATTATCTTTTTTAGAATTTATTCAAAGCGCTAGTTTTTGCAGTTTTTATTTTAATTTAAGTAGCAAATAAAGATAAATTTTTAACCAGCCTAAAAATGTCCATCCAATCATTAAAGATCATTAAAGCTGATTTATTTAATTGTTATTTCAGAACTAGAAATGATGACGAATTTATTGTCCATTTCAATTTTCCAGCAAAGTCAAAAGAGGAGCCTGATAATATCTTTGATGTTGGTTGTGAGACTCTTAGACAGATCATCGCCATAGTTTCTCAATTATCTCAGGCTCTAAAATAGCCATAAAATAAAATGATGAAGTACATAGTGATTTTAACTACTATGGTCTTTACTATTATACTAAACTATAATGTATTTAGTAAAATAGTAAAGACCATAGAAGTTGTCTTCAATTGATGCAACTTTTTTTCTGGCAATCTAAAGGAAGAACAGTGTTGCATGTATTGGAAACTCAAATGTAAATTGCATTTTGCTTGTCATATTTTATTTTAATAAATCTTTTAAGTTTTTATAAAGATAATTAAGTTTGTAATTTTTTTTTAAGTACTATACAGAAGCAATAAATCTTGATGGTGAAAATGGGGCTTACTATTTAAAAAGATGCAATGCACGCTTAAAGAAAGAAGATTTTGGAGGTAATATTTGTCTATAGATATATTGCTATATATTTACTGCAACTTTTTTACGTTAACAACAAATTAGTTTTTTTTGTTTTGTTAAAGTTTTTAGCTTTAGTTTTTATAAACATTTTTTTTTTAATTTAAAATAATTTTTGGTTCATAATTTCTGAGAAAATACTTTACTAAATCAATGTGCAAATTATTGGAATGCACCGCTATAAAATGCTGTCAAAGCTTGTTCAGTAAATTCATTCAAAGCAAGACTTGAATGTAATTAATAATTTGCACTAATAGATCTGCAGTTGAACTTTTTTGTTGCTTTTTTTAGTATATTCTTTCCTTGGTGAACACTGAATTATAATTTGGTTGAACATTTCCAAGCTTATTTAAACTAATTTTTTATTTTACAATTCTCCTGTTAACACCAATATGAATTTTCTGATAAATTTTTAAAAACAGCTTCTTTTATCAATTTATTTTATAGTTTTGTCAGCTCAATCATATTGAAGAGAAGTTTTGCAGTGTCTTTGTAATAATCTGAACACTTTATAGCAAAGTGAATCAGAGCATATACTTAACTGTATACAAAGTTATCATAATCATCTCTGCAAAAAGATTTGTCTCTATTATATTTATATATGCACATATACGTATATTTAAATTTTTTTTAGTAATTAAAATTTGCATTTCTCTTTTTCATGCATTGTTAAATTTTAAACTTAATTTATTCTTGGTTGATATAACTAATCCAAACCTTGGCTGATGGAAAGAGTACATAAAGCTAAGCAAATAGAGTGGGTCTAACTATGTTTACAATGCGTTTTTGGACCTTGTCTAAACAAGAAAGAGCATCATTAGAAGAACCAGCCCAAATATGACAACAGTATTGCATACAGGGACTAATAAGAGATTTGTAGAGATAAAGAATGGAATTAAGAGAGAGAAAATGATGAGAACAATAAAGAAAATCTACTATAGTAGATGCTAATTTAGCAATCGATTGTATATATTGTTTCCATAAAAGGTCAGTAGTAAACGATAATCCAAGAAGACGTAAAGAAGAGGATTCAGTGAGAGGGTTGCCCTTCATTAATATAGGAATGTCGATAGTACTACGGTAGTACTATCGAGTTGTTTGCTGTAAATATCTGAGTTTTGTTGGAGTTAAAATTTACAAGACACTGTGAGCCCCAATCTGTTATAGAAGTGTGGCCAGATTCAAGATTAGCTGCTTGTTCTAAGCAATCAAAAAGAGAAGACTTTTTGTCTAGACAGGAGTATAAAGTTGAATCATCAGCAAAGAGAGCTACTTTAGATGTAAGGTTGTCAGGAAGACCATTAATATAGGTAAGAAACAAAACTGGACCAAGAATAAAACCTTGAGGTACCCTAGAAGTTACTGGAAATAAAGAAGAGTGTTGGCTGAGTGATGGCTTTAATAAAGCGGTTAGAAAGAAATGATTTGAAAATCTCATAAACTTTCCTAGATACACCATATGAAACAAGCTTATGGACCAGCATGCCAAACTTTTTTGAAAGCCTTAGATATGTCAAGAGGAATATCCCTAGCCTCTCCACCTCCAACTAATGCACAATAAAATCTTTCAGTCACAGCAGTTAGCAAATCAGCCATAGAGCGAGAGGTTCAAAAACCTTGTTGTATGTCTGATAGTAAGTTATTTACCTCAAGATGGGATGTGAGAAATTTGTATGTATGTGTGTGTATATATATATATATATATATATATATATATATATATATATATATATATATATATATATATATATATATATATATATATATATTATTGCCGAACTTAATAGTAGTAGTGCGCTTTCGAACCTGTTTGACATGGTACCCTTGGCAGCCATCGCAAGCAAGGTAATGGTGAGAAAGAGTGGCAGCACTTTGTTTTATAAGAAAACGTGATTGAACGCGTATCCAAATATCTAACGTATGTAAACTTTAAATCAAGTAATGTTAAAATGTATGTTAAAACATGCTGAAACATTTATCAAGTTTTACAGTTTAATTTTCACTTGAAAATTTCATTGTGTCAAGCTCTCCTTAATTTTGATCTATAACATTTTTTCCCTTGAAAAAATCATTACATTGTTTTAAAAATATTCGCTTAAGTATGTGCCATTGAGGCCGAGTGGATAAGGCGCCAAGGATCTGAACAAGTAAGACTAGGTTTGATTCCTACAATTAGCCGCTTCTTTTTTTTTTAATTTTTAAAAAAGTTTTATAAAGATTATATACAAACATATGTAGCGTAAGGATATTATACATTTTCACAAAAGAAAAAATTTTAAGAAAGCTAAAATTTCATAAAACACCATCAACAACAAAAAAAAACATCACCATGAGAAAAAATTTGTTTGCTTATGTAAGATGTTTGAGACACTTATGTTATTAACATGCTCAGGTAATTAGTCCTAATAAGCTGCTGATGGTCTGAAAAAAAAGTTGTTTGAAACTTAATAAAGAAAAAACTATACTAAATAAATAAGAAAGTCCTACTACTAAAAAGGTGCTGCTGTGGAGGCAAAAAAAAAAAAAAAGCCCGTAGCTAGAAAAAAATTTAAATTTTTCTTTTGACAATGAAAAGCTTTTTTTACTACATTTATTTTTTTACTATAAATATATGCTGCAGCTGTTTTTTAAAACGCCTTAATATGCTTATTACATATTTTGAGAAAAACGCAATTAAAAAAAGTATATTAATAATTAACTCTTTGTTTAACGTTTTTTAAAATGAATAGTTTTAATGAATTTTTTTAGAACTCTTTGAAAAGATGTATTCAATAACGTTTGTAGACATATAAACTAGCTTATTTTGTATAAAAGTCAAAAATGATATTTTTAACCTTAAGGCGTTTTGAAAAACGGCTGCAGTATGGATGATACAACAAATATGTTAAAATAAGATAATTTGACTCAAAATTTAAAAGCTCTTAACAAAAGCCACTAAATCAAAAAATTAAAAATAATTGCTTAAAAGTTTTATTATAGTGAAAATTTAATTTAATTTAGTGAATATAGTAATTGTAGTTCATAATTTTATTATAGCACTTAAAAATTTTATTATAGTTTGTTAGTTTTTGCAAAGAAATGTTATATAAATCATTTTTAATATAAACTAATTTTTTTTTAACTTTGTTGTGCTTAACCATATTTATATAAACAATGTATATGTAAACACATATGCTATTTGTTTATATATATTGTTTATAAAGTGTAAAAAATCCACTTATAAAACGTTTTGTTTAGGATCGTATGTAATATAAGTAAACTTTTCTAATAATTACAAGTCTTTTTTGCTCAAGCTGTTTTGTTTTGATTTTTTGTAGTTATATTATTATATTTAAAAAAATTGACAATATTAAAAAAAACACAAAACATATTGTCACTTCCGAGTGGAAAATTTTAAACTTCAACTTTAGATTTGCTCCTCTCTCTATAATTTCTGATTTCTAAAGTTATGTCATCTGCTTCTTAGACCTTTAAAAATGATAGTCATAGAAATAAGATTTTATTTCATCTTTTTATAAAAACTCTATAAAAAAGGGGCCATCCATAAAAGGGCGTCGTCCAAATAGGGGGGGGGGGGTTCGAGATAAAAAAAGACAAAAAAGAACAAAGGGAGGGGGGAGTTTGTCAGAAAAGGATGTCACTTTATAGATTTTTTATTTTAGTTTAATTAACATGAAAAACTATGTAAATATGTGTTTTTAAGAAGATAATGTATAAGAATATTTTTAATTTTATTTTTCAAAGGTGTAGCAGCAGATTCAAATATTATTGCGAGATGAAATAATTTATTGGGGCTTTAAATTGGGGGATGCAGGATTTTATGACGTCTTTTTCAAGGGGTATAGGGAAAAAGGACAACTGGTGACAAAGGGGGAGGGATGGTGTCAAAAATTGGCTAAAAAATTATGACGTTCTTTATGGATGCCTCCAAAACTATTCATTTATTACTATTGTAATAAATACAATCTCTTATCTGTGAAAATGATATATCTGTACCAGTTTTATATACTTTAATATATTTGTATGCAACATAATAAAAATTAATTAAAAAATGTAAGATAAATACAAAAGGAAACTTGATACATAACGGTTTACTTTGCCACAAACTGACGTCAATGCCCAAAATCATTTTGGCTTAACTTTTACATAAACGTTTAATATAATTCTTTTAGTTCTTAATCGTAAGAATTAATTTTTTTTTCAAGACTTTGGTTTAGTGCTCTTAGATCTTCTTACTTTCATTTGTATAGCGTACAAATTTATGTTTAAACATCTTTATGTTTAGTTTGCGGACATTTTATGGAATAATCGTGTGTATCTATATATCTATAAAATGAGAAAACTTGAAAATTTTATTTTTTTGATATAAATATGTAAGCTTATATATATATATATTATTTATATATATATATATATATATATATATATATATATATATATATATATATATATATATATATATATAATCTTAGATTTATATATATGTATATATATATATATATATATATATATATATATATACAGGCTTCGGCAGGAATAAAAACCGTACGGGCTATGAAAAGCCCGTCTTAAATAGACTTGGCGGGCTATGAGGGCTGCCCGTCTATATGGTCTTGCACGGGCTTTTTTAAACTTTAAAAAAAATTCTAAAGTTTGAACTTTTTTTTTTTTAAATTTGTTAATTTCTCTTCTTCTTTTTGAATGAAAATGTCATTGAATATTAAACATTTTGTGAGTTGCACTAAAATAATATGTTAGAAAGCGATTAACTGTTTAAAATGCTTAATTACTTAAGTAACTAAAACACTGCAGTAAATGAGTTGGATAATACTTAAAACTAAGATTTCAATAATTGTTTTTCAAAGTTTTCACTTGCACAGATCTAATTTCGTTTCACGTGGGTTAGTTGTTTTATGGTTGCTTTTGTTTAGATTTCTTACTCGAAGGAACTTTATTCAGTTTTTTATGTTTTTTTTTTAATCTTTATTCCAGATAATATCTGGCAGATATAGTCAAACGAATGAACGTGAAAACGACGGGAAAAATCCTCGAACAACCATGGCGTTTCATCACGTTTCCTTATTCAAGCATCCTAACGTGTTTTTTTACCAAAGTCTTTTTGAGTATATTTATATATTATTGTTTTATTCAAGTATTCGATTAAATTATACAGGTTTTTATCGTGCTTTTTTAGTTCATTCGTTTCTCTTATTCTTTGTGAATAAAAATATTACATAATATTTTCAAAATCTAATTTTTTTAATTATTCAGCAAATAGTTTGAAATCTTTTTTTTTTTTTAACCTTGAATCAATGAGCTCGATAGTTTTAGAATTGTTTGGTATTAGCTTGGTAATATGATACGTAACTATGTTATTTTTCAAATTCAATTATTTATATACTCTTGCATTCTATTGGGCGTGCAAATTAAAAACTTCAACTGTTATTTATATTTTTATAACTTTGCTTTACCTATGCCTATCCTGATCGGAAATAGTTATTCTGATACGTGAATAAAAAATTTGAAATCTAATTTCTTTTAATAAAATAAGTTTTTATTTAGAAGTACTAATAATTTCTTAAGATACCGGGGCTTCCGTTACTTTATATACAATATAAGCATGTATATAAGCGTATGTATGTTGCTAGCTTTAACGTTCGTAGTGCCCTCTATAAATGCTAATGCTTTTGATTTTGCCAGACCTTTTAACTCGCGAAGCAATTCTTTTTTATATTTTATACAAACCATACACCATATCTTCACAACAAAAATTGTTCCATTCATCACCTCAGTTTCTTTTCCACAGACTCCATCTTTACCCCAACTCAAAAATGTTGCTAATGTAACTCTTCTACCAGATGATGCCATTACTATCTTTACTGAAAAACTTGAATAACTTGAAAAACTTGAATGACTGGATAACTTGAATAACTTCATAACTATAAAGCAACACTATTTATATTATCTACAAAAATTGATTAGACGTTTGTTGATTTTTAATGAGATATTTCATTTTCAATAACGAGTTATATAATTGCATATTAAATAAACTGCCGTCTCTTTAAGAAAAAACGTGAAGTTAACGCGGAAGTTAATGCGGAAATATCACTTTAAATGTCTTTAAAGTAAGACAAACTAGTTTATCGGAAAAAAGCGAAATACATGGATAATTAGTTTGTTATCGTTATTATTATAAACATTGAAAAACCAAAACAACATGATACTTCTTGTGCATCACATGTGTATATTTCCCTATTTAATATAATAGTTATTAAATTTTGAACATAATATGGTAGCTGTTTGGTATTATATCAAACAGTTATCGTCGTTTAAAAAACTGTAAGATTTAGTTATATTATTTTCTACATCATGTTATACAATAATGATTAAATTGTTTAATTTTTATATTTATATATAAACAATTATAAGTTGGAGTTTGCTATCCATATTAAAATTATGTCATGAGAGAAGTTTTAAAAGAGTATCTTAATAAAAAGACATCAAAATATTCATCTTTTTTTTTACACAAAACTTATGTTTCAGACGGGCTTTATTTCGCCCGTCTAAACTGACTTAGACGGGTGCGGAGACGGACACGGGCTATAGCCCGTCATTCCTGCCGAAGCCTGTATATATATAATCTTAGATTTATATATATATATATATATATATATATATATATATATATATATATATATATATATATATATATATATATATATATGTGTATATATATATATATATATATATATATATATATATATATATATATATATATATATATATATATATATATATATATATTAAGTATAAATGTTAAATAATTTTAAGTAAAAACTGTAAAAATTATTATTTTTAGATATACAATTAAATAAAAAGATTTTCTATTTTATGATTAAATAAATTATGATTTTATTAAGTTAAAAAAAAATTCTCTACTATTGAAATAAAAAAAATTCTTATTTTAATTTAAAATATAATTTGAATAAAAAGAAAAGTGAAGAACTTTTCTTGATGTTAATATTTTTTAAACTTCCTATCCGTTGGAGCTTAACTTTATTTTATTTTAACATTAGGAGCTTTAGATGATGCTAATATGTCAATAAAACTAAATTCTGGAGATGGTAGAGCATTTCAAAGGAAAGGGTATGCTCATGAATATGTTTTTGCCTTGTTTTAATTTTCGATTTAGGTAAACCTAATTATATAAACTTTATCACAATTGAATAAATATTTTGCTATATAGTGTACTTTCTATTATAAATAATAAAAATTTTAGGCTTTGAGTTTTAGGCTTTGAATTGCCCAAAATAAATGTCAATATCAAATGTGATAAATGTTTGAAATAGATAAAAAATAATTACTTTTTTTTTCTTTTCTTACATGAGTACAATCTTCCTATCAGTTAGTGTATACATGTACGAGGAAAATACAGAATGTGCATGTTATTCCTTGTTTGCTTTGCATGCTATTCCCTGTTTATGATAATGTCATTAGTAATGTTTATGTTATTTGATTAGTGGCAACAATTCTTTTTTTTAATATGTTACAATTGTAAAAAAAGTATTATTGTCTCAATAAAAAGCACAAATCGTGTCTGATGAAATCATTCTGTAGATTAGCTAAGGAAAGTTTTTTTTTTTAAAAACAGTTTTTTTTTTTTTTTACTTAAAATTGGTTTAATAAATAAAAATATTGTTTATTTATTTTTAAAATCTAAGTTATATTTTTTTCTACCAATGAATTTCTAAATATAATGAGAGTTTTAAAATTTTCAGTTAAAAATCAATGCAATACATGGAACAAACAGGCCTGGAAAGTCTTTAAAATCAATTCAATACATGTCAACAACAAGGTCTGAAAAGTACTGAAAATTCCAGCTTTTTTTAAAATATTTCTTAAAAACTTTGGAAAATTTATAGTAATTTAAGAAACATTTGTCAAATTAAAACCCATTGTATGTTTTCATAAGTTTATTTGAATTTTTTATACTTTAGAAGGCATCAAATGTTATTCTGCAGTTTAATCACTGTTGCATGCATATGGTATTGAACCTTTGGCTAAGATATCTATGTAAAAATAATATTGAGTTTCCTAAGCATGACCTATGCCCCTTTCAAATAAGCTTTACATTCTTTTTCTTTTAAAAAAAAAAAATTATACTTAAGCTCTAAGCAGCTTACTGATTCTTTCAGAAAAAAGTCTTAAAATTCAATGGCATGTTGGCCTTACATGCTTTACATGTTGACCTTACATGCTTTGCTAGGATTCCACATTTGTTTTTTGCTTTCTTGTTTTCATTCTATTATGACATTATTTTGTGCACCATTTAAATGTTTACAAAAATCCTAATGCTATAATGATTGCATGATTGCAATCATTCGTACCTTTTTATGACTTGAAGTGTGAGGAGAAATTTCAGGCTCTTATTTTAATAGGCACCCTGTTGCAAAAATGTATTGTTTTCAATAAATGTTTAAGCCACATTTTTATGTAATTTAATTATCTCTAAATAAAATAGAATTTATATTTTTTGAATAATTCAAGTTTATTTGAACAATCTTTTTCTGTAAAATTTGTCTGTTGTGTACATAGTATTAAAAATATTTATATAATCTGATATAATATTAAAAGTATTTATACAATCTGACATATTTGAATAGTGGCAAAAATTAATTTCTATTTTTTAAATATATTATTAATTTTAGGTCAGCTTTGTTTTTTCTTGAAGACTTTGATGGTGCACTTGATGCTTTCAAGAGATCGCTTGAGTTTGATGGTAAAACTATTTAGAGTTTACATCACTTATGTGTACATATATATATATATATATATATATATATAATATATATATATATATATATATATATATATATATATATATACACACGTAAGTGTATATATGTGAATATTAAGGATATTATCCAGGCGCGGATCCAGGATTTTGTAACTATGTGGCCAAATCTGGGTTTGCAGACGGCGCGAAGAGCTATTTTTTTTTTTAAATAAGTGATAGGGAAGAGATTGAGGGGGGGGGGGAGTAAAGTGCCTTGAACGAAAAAATAAATAAGCCTGAATTTTTTACATTTTTTAACTTTAAACTATATTTAAAATTCCCAGATACAATTTTATATTTTCAGTTGAGAAAGAAGGGGTGACATCACCCTATTGATGTCATGATTTTTTCTGTTTTTAGTTATCTATTTAACGCTAAAGTTATTTAAATTGTTGCCTTGGCTATTTAGTTCATAAATTAGACATAATACTTGTCTAACTCACTTAACGAAGTGCACCAACGAGAAGGTAAGCCATAGGACTTTGCACTCCATCAGTAAACTGTCATGTTGCCTAAGGTTAGCCCTCCATTTCTGGATTCTTTCCTTTTCTTGATAGGCAGTTTAAGTAAAGTATTAGTAATGTTGCCTAAGGTTAGCCCTCCATTTCTGGATTTTTTCCTTTTCTTGATAGGCAGATTAAGTAAAGTATTAGTAATGTTGCCTAAGGTTAGCCCTCCATTTCTGGTTCTTCCCTTTTTTTGATAGGCAATTTAAGTTAATTATTATTAATGTTTCCTAAAGTTACTCCTCTATTTATGGATTATTTCCTTTTCTTAATAAACAGTTTAACTTAAGTATTAGTAATCTTATTTAAGGTTAGCCCTCCATTTCTGGATTCTTTTTTTTTTTTTTTTTTTTTTTGATAGGCAGTTAAGCACAAATATTTTAAATATTTTTATAATTTTTTTTACTTTTATTTTTTAATAAATAAATAAACAAGAAAAAATATAATACAACAAATAAAGTAACAACTAAAAAAGTAACAACCTAAATCACCTGAAAACGCTCTCAACATTAGGAATTAATTGAAATAGCTAATGAAGTATTGAGTTTCACAGTTTATATAAAACAATGAATAGTAATAATTTGCTAATGAAAAATGATTTTCACAATTTACATGTTTAAAACAATGAGTAGAAATATTTTGCTATTGAGAAATTATTTATATTTAAGAGATACTTTTAAAACAATAGTTGATACTTTAAACATAACTTCAAAACTTTTATTTGAATAAAAACTCTAATTTTCTATCTCCTTTGGATGCAAATATTTTAATAACTCTGTTAATATCAGGAACTATTTCCTGATGAATAGACATTAAAGCAAGCCCATTCAATCTATTTTCTGACATAGTACTCCTAGTGTAAGTTTTTATTCTCCTAAGAGTAGATATTGACCTTTCACACTCACAAGTTGTGATTGGTATTGTAGCAAATATATGAAAAGCCTCTAAAATGTTTGGAAAGCCTCTCATATCCATAAACTTTAATGTATCTGAAATAGTAGATGGTAATTCTATCTTTTCTTTCCAAAATTCCTCCCATAACTCTAATTCAGCATTAATTGATGAGAAATGAGGAAGACCAGATTTATAAAAATTCAAAACAATTACGAATTTTTCTTTCCATGGACAAGATCTAAAATATTGCTTTGTTAAACTAGCAGGAATAGCACATAGACCATTATAAACAATTAAGCTCTCAATATCAAACCTATTTTCTAGTTCATTGAGAAGGTGATTAAGAAGAGGCAATGTAATAGAAACTTTAAAATAATCAGAGACAGTATCACATATTTGATTATCTCTATGCTTCTGAACACCACATGTTCTAGGTTTTTTTTCATCAATATCAAATGTTTTAGCCAATGCAAGAGCAATTTTATACCATTTATTATGGTAAGCATCAGCATTTCTTTGCATTTCTCTTAAAGTTGCTGGGAAATATCAAAAGATTTAGTTTGAAGAGTAACAGAAATTCCATAAAAGTAATCCATTAGTTGTTTAGTTAAAACTAAAGAAACTATAAAAGAAAAATTTGTCAATAACTTCATAAAAGAAGATGCTTTTGAAGATGTTTCTTTATTGTACTCTTTTAAATTATTGTCTTCCATTTCTTCAAAAGCAGAAAAAACTGCAGAATAATTATCGAAAAACACATCAAGTCCACGAAGCTTTTGTACCCACCGAGTTCGACATGTGTCAATAAGTTTTGCTTGACCAGGAAGAAGGTATTTCTTTAAGCAATTACTTCTTTTTGGAGAAAAGTTAAAAAAATAAGTTATGTCTTTAACTTGCTCAAGCAAATTTTTTACTTGCTGGATTTGGCAACTCTTCCCAACAACTAAACTAAGTTTATGTGAGGCACAGTGGACAAATAATGCCTTAGGATTAACATTTTTTATAACAGATGAAAAACCTTTGTATTCATCTGACATTGAAGCAGCTCCGTCATTATACTGGCCTCTGCATTTTCTTATATCTAAACCACATTCTTTTAAAGTTTCAAGAATGTTGGTAGCTATGCTTAAACCACTTGTACCTGTTTTACATTCAAAAAAGCGTAAAAAAACTTCCTTAATATTACTGTTCAAGTCAACATAACGTATGACAATAGAAAGTTGTTCTATTGTTGCACAGTCTGAAGCCTTGTCTGCAATAATGGAGAAGTACTTACTTTTTTTAATATCATTTGATAAAACTTCTTCAATTGCATTTCCACAACACTCAATTAACTCGTTTTGAATGGTCTTTGAAATATATGTGGAATTTTCGGGGGCAGAGAGAAGATGCTCCTTTAAAATTAAATCACCTGCATCAACCCTAAAATTTAAAAGCTCAATGAAATTACCCAGCCCTGTATTTTTTGAAGATTCTCCAATTTCTCCTTGATATTTTCTATCGTCTCTATGACCTCGTAGAGGCATATCACTTCGACCTAAAAATATTAAAGTCTTAACAATTGATTCAAGCTTTTTTTTGTTTTCTTCTATACGCTGTTTCCTAGAACTATCTTAAGAAACTTCAATAGGAAAAGTATTATTTTTAGCTCTAGAATAAAAGCATATTATAACAATGCATGGACTTGATGTGTAATCCGTCAACAGTTTTCTCATGATCGTTGAAAACTTTTACAGCATTACGCCAGGTATTAAATGGTTCTTTAAACAATTTACATAATGCATATTTGTTTGGTAAATTTGTACCAAAAAGTGTACATGGAAGACAATATGCACCATCTTCAATTTTAGATTAACAAAGCCAAGAAAAATCATCTTGCCATTTTAGCAAAAAACGTCTTTTTCTGCTTTTACCTGTTAAAGGGAATTGGAAACATTTATCTGGAACCCAGACATTATTAATTAGAGATAAAAGTTCATGATCATTTGTTCCTGATTTTAATTTTTCACCTTGTAGACAGTATGATGAAACATCATAGTTTGAATAAGATGCTAGCTGATTTGTATTTAATAAACTAATGTCAACAATATTGCTTTCCTTTTGTGGAACATTAGATTCAAGATTCATTTGCTTTTTATCATTGTTGTTGGCGTTTTTTGAGATAACTACTTCAGTTTTTACTATTTTATTACAAAAACTAGACTTATCTATATCTGAATGGTTTTTAGAAACAGTAGGAAAAAATAATTTAGAATGAATTGGTTTCTGTATTTTGTTATCTGTGGGTGGAAAACTAGACTTAGAAACTTTTATTTTTTTGATGCTAAGTAAACTTGGATCACTCATAACAACAGCTGGACGTTTTTTAGAACGATCTTTAACCAGTGCCACAAAATGATTTGGCTTAAAACATAAAATACTTTGGTTTTTTGTTTTATCTAAATTGCACCACAAAATATTTATAGGACAATTTAATTTTTGGATGCGAGGCTTTATAAGAGTATTAAAAAAACTATGATACTTTTTAAAACCGATTTCAGGATAAATAGATTCAATAGGTTGCTTTATAACATTAGATAATGCTATTAGACAAATGAAAGATGAAAATGTTTTATCAAAGCAATTTAAATACGCTTCTTTTTTCGAAGTTCAGAAATCATATTATCATTAATTGTTGAAAAACTGTCAGAGCATTTAAACGAAACAGCAATAAAAAACAAATTAGAAAGCTGAGAATATTCAGATCTATGTTGATTAAAATAACTACAAAAATAATCATACCTTGTGTAAAAATTTATGTTTTCAAATAACTCAATTGATGTCAGTAATCTTAGAATTTTTGAAGTATGATTATTGTCATTTAAAATCAAAGATACTGAACTATAAACTAATAATGAACTATAAAGACAATTTCCATCTGAAGACAATTTTCATCTTCAGTCGATCTGAGAAAAATAGTAAAATATATTAAAATATAATAATGAGTATAATATACTAAAATGTAATATCAATAACAAAAAAATAAATAGTTAAACTATAAATGTTTTTTTTTTACTAATATTACATTTTAGTATATACCATAATTTCTTATTAAAAAACTAAATCACTTTTTTTAGGTTATTTGTATGTTTAATAAATAATTTATTTTCATACACATTAGCAAGAATATAAATCTGTGTTAAAAATTAGTTAAACGTTTAACTAATTATTAACACAGATTTGTATTCTATTGGTGTTAAAATACCAATAAATAAAATTAAAATCTAACATTGATCTTACATCTAGATCCAATTTGTGATATTATTTTAATTAAATAATACTTTCATAAAACTCAAAACAAACAAAAAATACCTCAATGCTGAATAACCAAGATTTTTTTTACTTAAGGGTATAAAATCCATCATGTCTGTGTTAAATTGGTAAGAATCGTGTATTCTTGGAAACATTAAATTTATTTCCGAAAGCTCTTTAATGAGTCTAGTTTTGTAATTTAAGACATTAGGCCTATGCTTTGTTTCTATTGCACAAGCAACTAGTTCTTCAGTTAAATATGGATTCATATTATATAAATTTTAAAAAATCAAGTTATTAAAGTCACGCTATTTTAGTTTCTAAAGACGATTTTAATGAAAATGTCACGGTAACAAATAAAAAACCCAAATTAGTTAGCTACTATATAAGAGAACATTTTTCTAAATCGGACACATCAAAACCAACTGTGTGGCCAAGTTTAATTTTTGTTATTTATTTGATAGCATTTATCGATTGAATAAAAGGTCAGTAACGTAAAATAGGAGCCGTTGTGGCCATGGCATGAATCTCTATGGCCAAATTACGTAAATTACGGCAGACGCAATGAAATTTTGAGGAATATTACGCTAGCAAAGAAACCCAAAGCTAAGTTGGCTGCCGTTAAGTTTCATCTCTATGGCCATAACCCGATAAGGGTTATCCATAAAGTACGTCACGCAGAGTTTATAAGCATTATTGACTCTCTATTGCAGAGAATTTTGAAATAATATAGTGGATGTTTACAGCGTTTTTAAAATTTAAATTTAGCGTGACGTAGTTTATCAACGACGAAAAATGATACGCAAGTCCTAAAATCGTTTTCAATTACATATATTTAAAAATATCTTAATAATTATATCTAAATCTAAAAGATTTTTGATGAGCATTAAATAATTTTTTTTTAATAAATCAATCTGGCTTTAAACTATGTGGCCATGGCCACAATGGCCACCTCTTAGATCCGCACCTGTTATCTTTATATTATCATGTATAATAATTTATATTTTAAAGAATGCTCAATAGATAAACTAGAGCTACATAGTATATATTACTGTTACCCACAGTATCAGGAATTACCTAAATGCTAATATTTATAATATTATTTGCTACTCAGAGTTTTATGTGTTACCACAATCTTTAGGCAAGTAGTAAAAAACTAGTTTTACTACGATATATTTAGAGAAATATATATATATATATATATATATATATATATTAGGGTGTTTTTTTTTTCAATTTTTTTTTCAAAAAACTAGGCACAACCTCTAAATGTGTGCAAAATAAACTAACAATAGGTTTAAAATTTTTTTGAATAAAAAATATTTTAAGAGGTCCTCCAAGACCCTCAAATATCTAACTTAAATGAAGCGAAACTATATAAAAATTTCAAAAATAATAATTATTTTGAACAAAAATAATTTTTTCAACTTATTTATCAAAATCTTCATAAAAAAACTTTTGAAAAATAGACTTTTTTTCATTTTTTGTTAAAAACATTATTTTTTATGCAATAAAACCTAAAATAATTATTTTTTTCAAAATAGTTATTAATTTTGAAATTTTTATATAATTTTGCTTTATTTGAGTACCAGGTTGACATACTTTTAAATAACTTTTTTTTTTTAATATTAGGGACCCATTCAAAATTCAAGGGTCTTGGGGGACCCCTTAAAATATTTTTTATTCAAAAAAATTTTAAACCTAGTGTTATTTTATTATTTTGCACACATTTAGAAGTTCTGCCTAGTTTTTTGAAAAAAAGGTTGAAAAAAAAACCACCCTAATATATATATATATATATATATATATATATATATATATATATATATATATATATAATTCAACATACATGCATATATTGTTCATACATAATTCATACATAATAAATAAATGTATTACATTTGTCACTGACACAAAACTAAAGTATTATTTTGTTTATTTTCTGCTCCAGGTTAAGCAGCATTTTGGTTTCAGTGTTTGCATCATTTTTAAAAAGCTCACTCATTTTTACTGATATCATGTTGTATTTTAATCACATTCTCAGTATTCTTTATTTTACTTTTAGCTAATAATGAGCAAATAAAGCAGAGTATACGCAAGTGTGAGGCTGAAATTAACTGTATGTTAATTAAAAATAATTTCTAAATTTTTTTTTTTTTTTTTTTTTTCTAATTTTTTCTTTTTAATTTTTAATTTTTTTTTTCTAGTAAAAGAAGTATTAAAAAAGAATACAGAGGAAACACAAAGAAACAAGGTTTTAGTTTTCAATATTATTTTTAACTGGTCAAAAATAAATTGATTTATCAATAAATTTGTAATAATGATTTGTTATAATCAACTTTAATTTTTTTTAAATATTAAAAACTGAAGTCATTTTTTTTCAGTCAATACAATTTTTTTCAGTTTTATTTAGTGTTTTATTGCTAGTTTACATATATATTTAATAGACTTATTTTATGAATATAAAACTTTTTTTTAACAAATTCTAAAGAGACTAAGACTGATCAGAAAAATCTAGTCAAAACTGTTTCACTGTTTTGAGTCTTGGTTAATAATAAAACTTTATAAAGTTCTTAAATATATTTGAGAACTTTAAAAAGTTTTTTAAAAAAAACGAAAAACAAATAACTAATTCACTTGCTGCAAGCAACAGCAACACTTGCTGCAAGCAACCGCAATTAAGTTGGGAATTACTAGAAAATAAAAAATAGTTTTAAAGAGCAAAAAAACGTTTGAGAGAAAGCTTGAAAAATGGTAGAATGTATGAGTCAGGAAAATATAAGAGTGTTCCAAAGCATTGAAGTATTATGAAAGAAACAAGATAAATAAAAGTTTTAAAAAATAACTTGTATTTATCTTGTTTCAAAAACAGTAAAAAGATGCGAATTTGCTAAATCAAAAGTCAAGCTATGAGTTTTGGCTGATAGAACTAGAGATGATAGCTCATTTGAGTCGCAACCATAGTAGTATTTGTAGAAAAAAGAATGAGGTGCAAGCTTACTACAAAGAGACAGTAGCTCAAGTTTGGCAGGTAAAGCAGGTTCAACTACACTTAAAATGTGTTTTTGAAATATTGTCTAGAAGAGAAATGATATTATTAGAAGAACCAGTCCAAATATGACAATAGTATTTCATAAAGTATTGAATTTTTTTTTTATAATTTTTACCCCATGATGCTGGTAGCAGTTTTCAAGTATGCTTCACAGTTAATTCTTTTTTTGTATATTAATTTATTCTAAACAAATATATTTTGTTTGTTTTTAAAGTTTAGTTAATTGTCTATATAATCAATAACAAATAAGAGCCATATTGCATAGTTATAGGAAGTTATCGCTTTATAAAATTTTAAAATCTCAAAAAATCTTTCTGAAAAAAAATTTTTCTTTAAATTTAGTTCTGAAAACAAAACAGCATTAGCATTTCCATTGTAAAATTTATAGAAGTTTATAAGTATTTAGCTAAGTAATTAAAAAAGTCTTTCAATGAAAAACATTCTTAATATACATTCTTTGAGTTTTGTTTTTTGGCATAATGTTTAGTTATCATTTATAAAAACAATGGTTTTTAGCACTTTGTGTTTCTAGTTGTTAAATGAGGCGTGTTAAAAACCTAGTTGATTAAAAAGGTTCGTTTGTTTAGTTTTTTATTGGTATATAAATTGTTATGCTTTCAAAGAAATTTGCTATTCAAATTTTAATAAGCTTTCAATTTTATATCTTCCAAATTTTACCTAAAAAATGTGCAGTCACAGCAAATTGATTTTTGTTAAAACAGTTGGTAGCAAAAGAGTTAAAAAAAATACCTTGCAATGCATGTTATCAACTTTAAAAAACAAAATATCAAATGATCTTGTTCTTTAACATACATATCCTTTATTTAACAAATTGGTCTTATTCAAAGACCCCTTGGCAATGTTAAATTTTATGTAGGCGTTGAATTGTTTGAATATATAAAATATATATAAAGCTCTACAAATACTTTATCAATTTGGCAATTGGTTTATTGCTAAGATCAATTCTGGAAACATTTTTAATATTTAAAGTCTTAAAAATAAAAATTTATACAAATTATAATTGGGTAATAAATTTAAAATGATATGTAGAGTAAGTGTATTGGCAAGCTTAGGTTTAAGTAAGTTTTTTCAATTAAATATTTAATCAGATTACAACTCGAAAAACTTTACCAATCATGGTAAAGTTTTTGGAGGGCGAAAAATTTTACCAATCATTGCATTTTTTTGAAAAAAAACTGCAATGATTGTTTTTTTGAGTATTTATTTCTAGTTCCAACAATTAACTAACGCTCTTCTTTCTTAGTACCCATATAAAACTTATCTGTTTTTCTCCCTGGTTAATATATGGTCATTTTTACCATCAAAATACAATGAAGTAATATTATCATTACATGTATTATTATTTTCTTGAAACTGTTTTCTTAACTTTATCCTCTCTCTTTTTTACTTTGTTCTGCATTAGTCACAATACCAAATTAACCAATCCAGCTTTGGTAAGAGAGACTTTATCATAATTTGAAACACCCTATCTTTTATCCTTTTTTGTTAGATTTGTTAATGATACCTTCATCTGTTTACCAGTTTCTGATTTTGTATTGTCTGAATTTGATTTGCCTTAATTCAAAGACCTTTTCAAAACTTTGTGTCATCTTTATACTCGTTATTTGATTGTTGTTCACAGTTTCATGGTCACATAATTATTCATCACATGACCACATAACTATTCACATATGATCACATAATTGTTCATCACATGATCATATAATAATTCATCACATGATCACATAATTATTCTATAAATTCATCTGAATTGTCTGCTTTTGTTATTTATTGACTTTTCTCTGTTTTTCAGCAATTTCTCATTTATTAAAAACAAGCTCCTTTTTATTCAATTCTCTAACGTTCTTGATTACTTTAGCATTAACCGTTTCATTTATTATTAAATGTAACTGTTCTATAGTTCCAAAATATAATTTTTAATTATATCAATAACTGTTGCATTCTGTACTTTTGGCTCTTCTTTGAGTTGTGCAAAATCTGACAACTTGATCGATTGTAGGCAGCTCATTCTTTGATAAAACATTAGAAAGACCGGATATTTAGTTGCTGGTTTTTCTTTGGGTTTTATTGTCTGATTTATTTATTGTTGAAGTTTGATTTGAAATATTGGTTCGTATTGTAATTGAAATTATTTTCTTCGCATTAAAAAAGAAGTTTAATATAAATGAGACATTGGAAAATAATGTTCATTATTCAAGCTTGAACAATATATGTATTAAAAATAATATCAAAATCTTGTTAACATAAACTTGATAAATAAATATTATATGGCAGTAAAATTTAAAAAACAATCAAATAAAACCAGAATTACCTGCATTAAAAGAATAGATTAATATGTCAAAAAATTCATGATATTTTTTAAAGTTTATGCAGATATTAAATAACTCAATGTCAGGTTATTTTTGTAATTATGATTATTATAGTATGTTATTTTGTTATATTACTGTCATATCTGACAGTAATCATTAAATCAAAATTCCTAATTTATGCCTAATTCAGAAAGTTAAAGATTCAAATTTTTAAGAATGTTTTATTTTTTAGTTTAGTTGTGATCTGTGTTTAAAGTATTAAGTTGAAAATATTTATCCAGTTTTAAAATCAATGTAACCTTGTATCTCTTACTGTCTAAGCCTTCAAAATTTAGTAGAATATTAACAATTCTTTGGTTATATCTTCAGATTGATAGGATAACAGGAAGTAGGAAACACGCTAATCTAAAAGTCAATAAAAAAAGTTTTAAAAATGGAGCGATTTCGTTACACTTTTATAAGTGTTTTTTTTGTTGTTGTTGTTAATTCACCTCCTCAAGGCCGAGAAGGCCACTACAGGCGAAGAGGCTACTTATTTGTGGTTATAACCCTCTCTTAACTCTATAAGTCCGAAACACGAACCTTTACGAACAAGGTCGCTGGGCGGAGAATCGAGTTGAGCCCGGTACTACCAGGGACGTGGTGGGGATACATTCACATATATAAAGGCACAATACTACAGTTTTTCTTGTAAATTTATGATAGTTGTTTTCACCCCAACCTTAATAAAAATAATAAAAATGACTGAATATCAGAATCAGTTTTTCTTTCTCAAAATTTTTATTCTCATTAATTCTTTTAGACATAACAAAAGAATGAAAGTAAAGTGAGTTGATAGCTATAAGAAGCTTCAGCTCTTTCCATTTGCTCTAAAGAAAAAAAACTTACATTGTTAACGACCAAAAATGTTCTGAATAGACTAAATACAAAACTGAACCAAAAAAAAATTGCACTGTAATAAATTAGAAAACAACCAACAACAAATAAACATTTAAAACTACTAATTGAACAAATTAAATTGAACAAAGAACATCAGCAATTTTCTTAAAAAGCTTGGAAAGATTTATCAGTGTTAATTTGCTTGCAGATCTTGCTCGAAAGAATCTGTGACTATTAAGACAACAGTAAATGTTAACTGTAGTATTAATAACTTTGGAGAAAAAATTCATAATTCTTATATATTTGTTTAATTTCAAAACAGAGCATAGTTATTTTTGGTTCATGTATTAGGCTCATCTATTAGGCTGGCGCAGATGTATTTTTAATACATTGTTTCCAGTTTAGGATGTTGAACGCTGGATCTTCTTGACTCGATTCATGGGTTTTGCTTGTGTCTCTGTTTTTATGACTAGGCAACTCATTCTATTATCTCCAAATGAGGGTACAGCTCTAAAACTCAGTTTTATGGTTCTGAGACCGGCTGGTAGTCAGGTTTCCCGAACTCTGTGGTAGCTCTCAGAGAGGCTAATTCCATCAACAGCTGAAAAATATCAGAGTACTAACAGTGCCATGTTGCGCATGGATGGTGTCCCTGTTTGTACTTTTGGTGTGCATTGCCAAGGCCACATTGGAGCCCTTTGTTACGGCTTAGGGTTTATTAGTGGAAATGAGGCAATTGCTTGAGCTATAGAACAGTGTACTGAGTACTATCAATGTTTCGAGTCAAGTTCTTTAACAAATTTAAAAATAAATAAAGTAACAAAAACTATAAAACACAAAAAACCACAGTCATCACCAAGTTCGCTAAACCTATCATTCACCAATATTCGTGGTCTTCGAAGTAACTTTTCTTCTGTTGAGTCTTATCTCTTGCAAAGTTCACCAGACCTGCTTGCTCTTTGTGAGACTAATTTGAGTTCAGCTGTCTCATCTTGTGATCTTAGTGTTGATGGTTATCTTCCTTTTATTCGTAAAGACTCCAATAGTCACATGCTTGGCCTGGGCATTTACATTCGTAAGAATTCACCCATTTGTCAGGAAACTAGGTTTGAATCCACAGACTACTCTTTTATGTGCTTTCGTTTAGCACCACTTCCTCTATCACCTTTCTCTTTGTTCTATATCGCTCTCCCTCATCCCAAGACTGCACTCTTCTTGATGTTATTTCTGATTATATTGACCAAGCCCTCATTCTTTATCCATCAGCCAATATTGTTGTTGTCGGTGACTTTAATGTTCATCACACTGAATGGCTTGGCTCTAGTGTCAGTGATTCTGCAGGCATTAAGGCCCACAACTTTTGTCTTTCTCAATCCCTAACTCAAATAGTCAACTTTCCAACTCGCTTTCCAGACAACCCGAATCATTTACCTTCTCTACTCGACTTATGTCTTGTTTCTGATCCTAGTCAGTGCTCAGTTTCTTCACACTCACCCTTAGGTGCGTCTGATTATGGTTTGGTCTCTCTAAAACTATTGTCTCATTCTTCTTTACCATCAGAATCCCTCTATCATCGTACATCTTACAACTACCTTAAAGCTGACTGGGACTCTTTCCGTGATTTTTTTGGTGAATGCCCCTGGGTAGAAATCTTTCGTCTCCCTGTTGACAAATGTGCTTCTTACATAACTTCGTGGATTCAGGCTGGCATGGAATCCTTTATTCCCTCTCGACGATTCCAGGTCAAGCCTCACTCTTCTCCATGGTTTTTCTCACATTGTGCTGCTGCAATTGCCAATCGAAACCATTACTTCCATATCTATCAGCAAAACATTTCTCCAAAAAACAGATGTCTGTTTATTACTGCTAGGGACCATTGAAAAAAGTTTTGTCTAACGCCAAAGCTCGCTATTCTCAGATCTAATTTTTGTGATGAAATCTCGTATTTCATCACAAAAATTAGGCTCTCGTGACTTCTGGAAAATCTTTAATAGTATCAATAATAAGGGCAAGTCTGTAATTCCACCTCTTTTGTATGGTTCAGACTTTGTCACCTCACCTAAAGACAAAGCTGAATTGTTTGCCAAGAACTTTTCATCAATATCATCTCTTGATGCCACTAGTTGCGTTCTACCTGATATAGCCATCAAACAGAATGATCCATTGCTCGACATTCGTATCACTCCAGCTTCTGTATCTAAAGTGATTTCCCGCTTAGACTCTTCTACAGCTTGCGGCCTGGACAACATACCTGTTATAGTCTTGCAGAAGTGTTCTCTGGAGCTTTTTTCTATCCTTTCAAAACTATTTAACAAGTGCTTATCAGAGTCTTGTTTTCCAGCCTGCTGGAAAGCAGCATCTGTTATCCCTATTTTTTAAAATTCTGGAGAGCGATCTGATTCATCTAACTACCGTCCCATTAGTCTTCTTCCTATCATAAGCAAGGTTTTTGAATCTTTAATTAACAAACACTTAATCTCTCATCTCAAATCTCATAACCTACTTTCTGATCATCAATATGGATTTCGACCTTCTCGTTCTACGGCTGATTTGCTATCAGTAATAACCGATAGGTTTTATTGCGCATCAGATAAAGGTGGAGAGGTTAAGGCCATCGCTCTTGACATTTCTAAAGCGTTTGATAAAGTTTGGCATGCTGGTCTTCTCCATAAGCTTTCTTCTTATGGTGTATTTGGAAACATCTTTAAGATTATTGAATCAGTTCTTTCCAATCGTAGTATAAAAGTTGTCCTTGATGGACAGCACTCTTCTTCTTATTCTGTAACCTCAGGGGTTCCCCAAGGTTCAATCCTTGGCCCTATATTCTTTTTAATTTACATTAACGATCTTCCAGATATTCTCACATCTAAGGTGGCATTGTTTGCTGATGATACTACCATTTATTCTTGTCACGATAAGAAGCCAACTTTCTCTGATTGCTCGCAGGGGGCATCTGAGCTTAAAAATGATCTCACTTCTGCTACAGCATGGGGCTCACAGTGGCTGGTGAACTTTAATTCAGATAAAACTCAATTTTTTTCGCAATAATTTAGACCTTCCTATATTTATGAACGGTAATGTACTCGATGAGTCTCCTACTCTTCATCTTCTAGGATTAACTCTTACTTCTGATTTTTCTTGGAAACCTTATATCAAATCCGTTGCAAAATTAGCATCTGCTAAAGTTGCTTTTCTTTATCGAGCTCGTCACTTTCTTACTCTGAATTCTATTCTCTATCTCTATAAATCTCAAATCCGGCCTTGTATGGAATACTGTTGCCATATCTGGGGCGGATCTTCTAATGATGCCCTTTCTCTTTTAGACAAGGTGCAAAAACGCATTGTAAACATAGTTGGACCTGCTCTTGCAGCCAACCTTCAACCTCTGTCACATCGTCATAATGTTGCTTCTCTTTCTCTTTTCTACAAATACTATAATGGGCACTGCTCGAAGGAGCTAGCGTCTCTTGTGCCATCTACTAAAATTCATTCTCGTGTTACTTGTCATTCAATCAAGTCTCATACTTTTTCTGTTACTGTTCCTAAGTGTTCCAAAAACTCTTGTTCATCTAGTTTTTTTCCTCGAACATCAGTTCTTTGGAAATTACTTCCTTCATCTTGGTTTCCTGATTCATATAATTTGCAATCTTTTAAGTCGTCTGTCAATTGTTATCTTGCTCTCCAATCTTCATCTTTTCTCTTCCAGTAACTTCCAACACTAATTAGTGTTTGCTTGCAGCCTTGTTGGAAGCGAAGATAATAAAAAAAAAAATGTTGTTATTTACATTTAAACACCACCAATAACATAAATTTGTAATTGTATAGTAATAATCTTTAGTAATTGCTTAAAATCATGATTTTAATAAAGAGGGAAGTTTATTATCAAATATTAACCAAGTTTTTATTTTTGTTTTAATATTATAGTTATTAATATTTATTAAAAAATTTTGTATGAATCATTGTAAAGTAATATTTATATTTTGTTTTATCTTTATTTTATAAAATTAATTTTTAAACATGTTAGTTTAAATAAACTCATTTATTTGAATTATTTAGACTTTAATTGGTCTTTCAAATATCCATAAAGCAAATGAAAAACAAGATGAAGTTCCTCCATCAATTACTGATGATAAAACTACTGTAGTACCAACATCTCTGAAAACTAAGTATATTCTCTTAATTATTGAGTTAATTTTTTTTACTTGTTAAAATTTTGTCATGAAGAATAGATTAAACATGAAAAAAGTTTTGTTTCTTAATTATTAAGTTCTTTTTTCATAATCTCAATCAAATAGGCTTTTAGATTAACTTTATTATGTTACCATTTCTATGATGTCATACTTAAACTTTGTTTAAATATGACATCATGAAAAGGTAAAGCAATTTTCACAACCAGGTGCTCTTCTTGGTGTTAACCTGTTTTGTGTATCAGAACTGATTATTTTATTGTAATACTTCCGTTAGGATTTCATCCAAGGTTTACAAGTTTCTACTTTTACTTTAGAGTTTTTATATTAGAGTTTTCTTTTTTTATGTAATTAATGTTTTGCTGTGGCTAAGGAGCCTTACCTGCACTAATATAGGTATAATATATATATATATATATATATATATATATATATATATATATATATATATATATATATATATATATATATATATATATATATATATACAGGCGTTGTTTTAAATAAAAAAAGTACTTAATGTATTAGCTTAACGCGATTTTGACGTCATAAAATTATCTTAATTTTTTTTTATAGACATTAAGTGTTTTAACTACCACAATAAATAACCGCTAACTAGTTCAATTTAACAATTAACTTAAATAACTATAAACGTTTTAAATGTAAATTTATTATGAAAAGTTTGTAATGTTTTCAATTGTTATTTTATTATTAATTTTAGTTCAATATTATTAAGCAAAAAAAAAAAAGTATATATATATTTTAATTATTTCTGAAATTTGTTTTTGAATAATTATTGTTTATAAATCATTATTGAATAAAAAATAATGATTTTTTTTATTTTTAAAAATTTCTGGAGTAAACAAAAAATATTAAAATTGATAAACAAAAACCCATGTTAATTATTTAAACAGCGATTTTGTTTTGACTAGCAAAGAATAATTTAGGTTTTAAAATATTTTTTAAATTTATCTTGCTTGGCGTTTCAACTTGCGTTATATAAAAATATAAAAAAGTTTTGTCTGCTTTGAGCATATTTTTGATACATAGAACGCATTCGCCAGGAATTTAATTCATAAATTTTTTATGTTATTGTAAAAATGTTTTACATTTTAAACAAATCAAAAAGAAACAGAGCTATATAGAAAAGTCGTTTTTAACAATTAAATCTTTTTTTTTAAAAAATTTTAGGAAATTAAAAAAAAATTAAATTAAATATAAAAGTTTTAATTATGCAAACTCTTTTGTTAACTATTCTTAAAACAAAAAACAAATACTTCTACGCAAAACTTTAATCGTGCAAACTTAAAAAAATATTCAACTAAAATAATATAAGTATATTTAATAATTTGAATTGTATCTGTTTATAATAAACGTTCTTAAAAATTTGTTTATTAAAAATTAAGTTTCTTAACTTATAAACAAACTCAAAAGTATTTTCATTCTGCGTATAATTACAAAACTTTTTTTTCTTTTTTTGTTTGTAAGCAATTTAACTTAATAAAATAAAAAAAGAATAGATATGAGAAAATCTTTGTTAAGAACAAATTTAATTTATTTATTGAACTGTAATTTTTTTTTTATTTATATAGGGTAGATTAGGGTAATATGAGCACCTTGGTAATATGAGCATAATTAAAGATTTATTAGATGTAAGCAGTGAAGTTAAAGTTGCTTTATGTTTTTCGAATTGACTTAATGTGGTGATAACAGGAATCAGTACAATTAGCATAAATTTATACGCAGTAATTAGCGGATATCATCTAATTAAAACGCTTTTAAATTTTTTGCTTTGTTAAAAAAAATCATCATGCGTGAATAATTCTGTGGCGCGATATTTTGGTGCTAAAATAATGAAATTAATTTTTTTTATAAAGAAAAATATATTAGCTAAAAATCCAATTCATTTTTGTTTAAAAAATAATGCATAGAAACATTTATTTTTGACTTTATTTAAAGATACCATTTTTGTGTAATATGAGCATGCTCAAACAACCCAGTGCTTTTCATTGAAATTGCTTAGTTTAAAGTCCTAAAATAGCAGTGGTTTTAAATTGCTTCTTGAATAAAAACAAAACATAGTAAAAAATTTTAATATATTAACAATACTAAATATTTTTCTGTAACTTAAATCTAAAAAATTTTAATTTTTATTGTTCAAAGGCTTGAGTTAACAAAATTGAAAAAACAATGTATTTTTTTTTTTTTTTTTTTTGGCGGAAAACATAGCAGTATTGTTTCAACAAAATGTAGCTTAAAATTTGATCTTTTAATGATATGTTTTGTTAATCACGAATCCTTATATTCCAACAATTAGTTCTATTAAGCAGGTTGGTCTTTTTTTACTTAATTAATGCTATTTTTTTGAGCTAATTTAAAGTGCTCATATTACTAAGGGGTCGGGGTAATACGAGCACTTTTGCTACTTTTTTAAAACCTCTGTGTTTTTAATAAAAAATGTCAAGTGCCCAAATATCTAAATAGATTATGAATAGGGATCCCTAAAAATTGTTTATTTGCAAAAATTTTGGATCTAGCATATTTATTTTTAAAAATATTCCAATTTTTCCTTAAGGTGCTCATATTACCCTAATCTACCCTATCAACTTAATTAAAATATAGTAACATGTTAAAATGTTTTAACATGACTTGTGTTATAAACCGTAGGGCAGCTGCCCTTACGGCACCATTGTTTTTAGATAGTATTTTTTTTTTGATGAAGATCACATAACTTACATTTGATTTTAATACCGTAAGTCTTCTCTTTTTCTGTGCTCATCGCATCGTCTAAGTCCCAAGATTTAAAAGTTTTTAAAGTAAATCTTTTGTCCTTTAAAATACAATCCATATTTGAACTTTAAACAATTTAGAGAGAATAGAAATATACAAGGTTTTTATATACTTTCTTGTTTTATAAAGAAAAATACATATTCATTAGTAAAAAATAGAGACTGTCATTAAACTAAAACATGCCTTAGTATTTATTTAACGGAATCTGTAATGTGCGCATGCATAATCAAACCTCCGTTATATAAATATATTCAATGTAATATTCAATATAATAATGTAATATATGCAATGTCATGCGGATGTTATAGTCTACCCATGATTTCTTTACCTTATAATATAACTTGATTTATGAAAAAAACTTATTGAATCGCACGCAGAAGAAATTTAACAAATTGTCTTCATTCAAAAATTGCCAGTAACAGGTAATTTTTTTTTTCTGTGTCGGCCCCCTCCCCCCGCATAACTTAAAGGTTAAGGTATCTATATACCTTTAACTAATAAGAAAAGCAAAGAGTAAGAATTAATGAAGTAATTTTTAGAAAAATACAATTGATTGTTCATTCATTGGCACATTCTTTTTTAATATCTCGAAAAAATGTCTTGATATTTTTGTTATCGTGATAACAAAAATATAAAGACATTTTTTGAGATATTAAAAAAAATGTCAATCCTTAATTACAAATTTTTTTGCAAATGTTTTTTATTATAAATTCAAAAAAAACTCATAAAAAATCTATACTACAAAAAACATTTATATTCTGTATTAATAAATATGGAATATAGATTTTTTAAAAGTTTTTTACTGAAAACTTTAAAAAATTACTACTTTTTATTAAAAACATTGCAAAAATTTGTAGTTAAGGATTGACAAACAATTTTTCATGTTGCTAAATTTTTGGATAAAAAGTTTAGCGTAAAATTAATTGCTATAAAAAGGTAAGATATATCACGATGAAAAGTTACAACAGTTATTTTTAACATAAATTATTTTTTGTAATAAATATCTTTACATATTGTTTAAATGTTAATGTGGTTTTTTAATAAATTAATTACTTCTTTTATGTTACCGCTAATTTAAAAGTTAAAAAATGATAAAAAGTAGCTTAACCAAAACAGCTCTACGCGTACGCAAAAATCGCTTAAGGCGTAACGCTTTAAAACAAGGCCTGATATATATATATATATATATATATATATATATATATATATATATATATATATATATATATATATATATATATACATATATACACTTACTAAAGCGTGTTCTGATAAGCATTTGCTCACTTTTTCTGCTTACCTTAAGCTATACCGTTTTTTTTTCGAAAAAGAAGAAAAAACGATAAATAATGAATGAAACGATTGCTTCCCCATCCTAAACCCTCAGTCGATGTAGCAGCACTCCACTGCGAGTCAGGCTATTTGTCAGTCGATGTATGTACTGAAGCCCCCAGCAGCAGGCTATTTCAGTATGACATCAGATTGCTTACAATAGTACACGATACTATTTATATATATATATATATATATATATATATATATATATATATATATATATATATATATATATATATATATATATATATATATATATATATATATATATAGTTATAATATATGCTTGAGACTCATTTCATTTCTCTTGTGAAGCGAAAATTAAAATTTGGGTGAAGCTGCAAACAATACAGCAAGTAATTGTTGAATGTCCAAGATATATTCAAGGCAGTAAAAACTTTTTGAAATATGGTTACCTATATTATGTAGTCCTTTATCATAATGTGCTAAATAGTGATTTTTTTTCTTTTAATTTATTATTTTAACTTCTAGCTGAACTTTTCTTGTTTCAAAAATATAAAGCGTTTATTAAGTGTGAAACCAATGGATTTTTTTTCACCTTAACTATACTTACATTTTTTTATTTATTTATTATTTAAAGTTTGAATATTGTGTTTGATTAAATTTTAATGTTAATTATTAAACCTTACAAGTTCAGCATTTTATATCATATCACAGGTTATCTTTATCACAGTATTACTTCCATTATATATATATATATATATATATATATATATATATATATATATATATATATATATATATATATATATATATATATATATATATATATATATATATATATATTTAGCAAAAATTTTCTTAACAAATATAAGGTTCCAGGTAACAAAAGAAAAACTATTCAAACTAAGATGAGTAAAGTATATTTATTAGTTGATTTTTAACAAATATTTTAAATTTTTCTTGAACACAGAAGGCCTTTCATATAAAATCTTCAGCTGTAACTATAATTTTTTTATAGTTTTGTAAATCTCATACACATATATATACATTATTGTGAAAAAGTTAAGAACCACTAAATAAAAAAAAATATTTTTTTCAAATAAAATCAATTAATTTTTATTCTAAAGGTAATAAAATAATCTATTTTTTCAAACATGTTAAATAGAACATGAGAACAAAGATTTTTTTTTTTTTTTTTTTTTTTTTTTTTGAAAATTAATTAATAAAACCTATAAAAAATTTTTGTGTGTGTGTGTGTGTGGAAAAGAACCACAGAATTTTTTGTGCTAAATCCGGTGAAAATGACTTTTTTTAATTGATTTTTACCTTTTTATTTAAATATTCTATTAATGACAGAATCATTACCAAAAAACCAAAAGTATTAAAAAAAAAGTATTTAATTTCAAAAAAAAAAACAAAAAAAAATTCTTTTGAAAAAATGAGCAGAAAATCTATTACCTATGAAGATCGTGTAAAAGTAGTGCATTTTCACCAGGAAGGTAAAACCGCTCGTGAAATTGGAAAAATAATAAAACGATCACATAATTCAGTGCTACCATTCATCAAAAGATTCAGAGAGACAAAATTTTATGTTGATCACCATAGTTCTGGAAGACTGCGTTTGACAACACCTAATGATGACCACCTTTTAATCAGTTTGGCAAAGAAAATTCAAACCATGCCATCGCATGAATTAAGAAGGGAATGGAAGCTTTCAAATGGACGTCAAGCATTGGCATCACTTGTGCGTAGGAAACTAATAGCTAACAATATGCTATGGAAAAAAGTTGTTCTAAAACTGCAACTTACCAAACAACATATAAAAAAACGAAAAGAATTTTGCCAAAGTGTCAAAGAATGGTCTAAAGAAAAATGGAGGACAGTAATGTTCAGTGATGAGATAAATATCGAGGTTGATAACCGGAAAAACCGAATTATGATTTACAGACAGCCTTCAGAAAAATATAATCTCAATTGTATCATTCCAAGAACAAAACAAGGTAGCGGGTCGGTTTGAATATGGTGCTACATGACATATTATGGTCTCCGTATGTTTAAATTATTTGATGGTCGACTCAACTTTATTTATTATGTCGATATTTTAAATAGCAACTTATTGTGCTAATAAACCAGACCAGAAACAGTTCAAAAAATTGAATAATTTAATAATTTTTTTTTTTTTTTCAAATATTTTTTTTTTTTTAATTAAATGATAGACTGCCTGCCCTAACCAAACCCTCATTCGATGTAGCAGCACTCCCTTGCAAGTCAGACTATATGTCAATCAATGTAGCAGCACTCCCTTGCGAGTCAGGCTATTTGTCGGTCAACGTAGCAACACTCTGTTGCTAGTTAGGCTATAAGATAGTCGATGTAGCAACACTCCCTTGTAGCAGCAGGCTTTAAGATAATCAATGTAGCAACACTCCGTGTATGTTTTAAAAATATATATAAAACAACAACAAAAACACCATTAATTAAAAAAAACTTTCTAATCATTATTATTGCGGTTTTTTTAAAAAACAATCAAATTTAATGTACTTGAAACAATGAAATGTAGCTTATTTGTTGAGGTAGCAAAATTGTAGTCAAAAGAGACTTTTTTTTACATTAAAAGTTTCTTTCGACTATGATACAAAGATATATTTTTTTCATATATATATATATATATATATATATATATATATATATATATATATATATATATATATATATATATATATATATATATATATATACACACAGGGGCTAATCTAAACCGTTTTTGACAGCTTAGAGTATCTCTTATCTTGACAGTTTAGAGGAGCAGCTTGCATGGTTTGCCATATTCGTTTTAGGAGAGCTTTTCCCTGCTCTTGTGCTCATTTACTCCTGCCGAGGCCTATGTATATATATATATATATATATATATATATATATATATATATATATATATATATATATATATATATATATATATATATATATATATATATATATATATATATATATATATATATATATATATATATATATATATAAGGTGGTTTTAAAAAAATTGTTACCCATTCTAAATGTGAATTCTAAATTGAACACTCTAAATTATATTTCTTTAAAAAACATTTCACCTAAACAATATTTTCATAAGAATAAAAAGATGAATTTTCGGAAATTTTCTTTTTTAACTCTATTTTACAAAAAACTAATAATAATGTTTTTTGTTTTATCATTTAAATTGAAAATATTTAATAAAAGTTATGAAAATAATTTTTAGGTATGATTGGTATCAGACTGAAACTCATGTTATTATATCAATTCTTATAAAAAATATCAAGGAAAAAGATGTTAGTTGTCATTTTGGAGACAAAACAGTATGTCATTTTTACTTAAAGTACAGTTATGATTGATAATTTAACAAGATATTCTCTATTAAGTTGAAAGTACAAAATATTTGTGAATTTTTGTATGCATAATGTAAACCTTTAAATTGATTGTCCTATAATTATCGCGCTAACGAATTTTTATTTTGCTTTGTTTATTTTTCTTTAAAAATTTCCTTTTTAAGATAAGTATAAGTACCATTGCCATCGGATAGATGTAAAATTTCCTGATCCAAAAATGTAATATAAGTTAATGCTTTAATTTAATTATAATAATTAAACTTGTCTTAAAACCTAAATTTTTTTCTGATTTTTTATTCATATTGTCACTAAAAAGTATTTCGAAAACTTTTTAATGTCTAATGTGGTAAAAGAATTATTTTATAATGAATTTTTTTTTTTCTTATTTTTTAGTTTTGAATAAGTTGGTTTGTTATTGTTTTTATATTTGTTTTTTTGATTTTTTATTGCTAAATATTTTCAGATATTTGTACTTTTTTGTTATGTATACTTATATATATATATTTTTAAGCTTAGCGTAACTATCAAGTTGTCTCAGGAAAATGATTATAGTTTGGAGTTGGACCTTTCTCAAAACA